ATATATATATATATATATATATATATATATATATATATATATATATATATATATATATATATATATATATATCTTTATATTAGGGCTGTCAAAGTTAACGTGATAATAGCGCATCAACGGGAATTTATTATAACATGACTAATTTTTTTGATGCCAATAATGTGTGTTGAGTCGGATGGCAGCTCGAGAAAAATAATGAACAAAGAAAAAGGTATTTTGAATGGCAGGCTTAGCTTCAAAACTTCAGATGTTTTCAGATGGGTCCATCGGCAAGACCATAGTTATTTGCAGTTACTGTCATTGTGAAATAAGTTACCACCGAAGTACATCTAGTCTTAAATACCATAGCAGGCTGTGGCTCTTCTCAGAATGATAGACGCATTCGCATTTTCATGTCTTAACATATTTTGATAATACAGTGGTACCTCAGAACTCAAACTTAATCCGTTCAGAACTCCAGATTGAATCCTAAAAAGTTCAAGTTCTGATCAAATTTTCCCCATAAGAAATAATGGAAAACCAATTAATTGGTTCCCGGCCACAAAAAATTACACCGAAACATGTTTTTTTTTTTTAGCATTTAAACACAAAATGAACCAGATAAAACAAGAGCATATTCCGTACTAAACACATCTAAGCACATTTATCAAAACAGTAATTTTTAAAGTAAGAAAATAAATATATCCAATGTGCCCTGCCCCGATCATCTTCCGTGTGCCATGCCCCCTCGTTAACCCCGTGTGGAATCCCCGTGTGATCAGCTGTTTCTGGTTGTTGTCATTAGTCCTCTGTATTTAGTCCACGTTTCAGTTTGTTTCCCCAGTCCGGTCATTGTATTGTATGTCTGCATTTTGCCTGCCTTACCTGTAATTAAACCCAGTATTCCCCAATACCCTGATGTGTGTGTCTTTGTCTCCTTTCTGTCCCCGCTGGGTACGACAATATTATTAGAATTAAATGTATTAATGGTATACTCTTAATATTAAAATAATTAATAAGAAATCTTTATTTTTAAATGTATTTTATTATATAATAATTACTGTTACTGTCTATCATTGTCTAAATGTATTTTTACTGTCTAAATATATGTATTCAGCTAGAGTAATCATGCACGATGCTATCACAGCGAATGCGAGGCTGAGACTGAAGCGTTACCCTTTGTTTCCGTACAAGTTATCTTAGGTCGCCGTTCATGGTTTGACTTCTGAGATTCAGATCGAGTTCTAGGTAATGGTTGGTTCGACTTTTAAGAAATTCGAGTTATAATGAGTTTGAGAACGGAGGTACCACTGTACTTTCGTAAATATAAATTATTTATTTATGGGTTAATTATTTTTTATTATTTTCCATTTAGGTGTTTCTTTAGCTATATGTGAATGCATAATTTACATCTTCGTCAAAGTCATTCTCTACGAGTATGTCTATGGTCAAATGGCATGCTTTCTGGAGTTTTCTTCAGTGTCCGAGATTGGATGTAGGCTTATTAAGTTTATTCGGATTCGCAATTCTTTCATATACTTTTGCAGTAAATCACCACCACGACTTCCCAGATCTTCGTAAAATTATAATATTTTCTCCAATTTACATATTATAGCCAGCTGAGTTTGGAGTGGTGAGGACATTTTGCACTGGACAGCACAGTTACAAGTAGTGAAGTAGAGAGTGAAGGGCAGACAACTGCAGAGCCAAACGAACTTGGGTGAGGGTGAAGACTATCGCTACAGAACTGAACAATATTGTGATAATAGTCACCTTTGCACTATTACGCGTCCGAGTGATTTAAAACCAAGAACCACCCCCCCCCCTCCGAAATTGTATTTCTTTATTTTTTGTAAGCACAAGTTTTGTTTTTGTGTTAAATGCATGCATACCGATATTGCATTAAAAATCATATCTCAAACCCTCTTCTCTATCTATTGGGACTCTTTGTAAATCATTTAGGATACATTTAGGATAAAATGGCTTTTCGCGTTAAAAAGGTTGCCGACCTCTGATCTATAGTCAGCTAACTGACTAAGTAATATGTAATATTTAGCAGGTCAACATGTCAATCTGTTGTTGGGCTTGAGTTTTTCTGAAGTGATGAAGGGTTTCTGATGACCTTTGGACAATCTGTTGTTTATTGTTGGTAATTGATTTCCAAAAATAAATGCATATATTTGCAAAAAAGCAATCATGCCTTGCCAACTCTAATATTGATAAGAATATTAACACCTGAAAAAAAACCTTAATGGTAAATGTTGAATGTTGAATAAATTTGTGATTTAATTTGCGATTAATTTGTGATTAGCTATGGGCAGTTGTGCGATTAACCACGATTAAATATTTAAATCTATTGACAGATATATACACACACACACACACGCACGCACGCACACACACACACACACATACATACACACACATGTGGGACTCCCTGCATATTGTACACACACACACACACACACACACACACACACACACACACATACGTACGTATAGAGACACACACACACAATTATATAGAACCCAAAATATAGGGAATTCATTCTTAGCAAGTATTTAACTAGCTGAGAATGAGGCAAAGTAAAAGTAGTGCTGTCTCCACTACACCACTGACAGCATGTAGTGTTCTTAAAAGAGGAGGTAACACTGAAAGCTTAAATTCACATTATTGAAAAATTATTACCAAGTCAGACAAACCATTACATTTTCCCTCCATTCTGAAGTTCCAACATCCAGCACTGAGCTAAAAGTTAACTCACCTGGCATTCACTATAAAGTAGAGAGTGGTAGTTTGACCACACAAGACCTTGTCCTCTTAAAAGGCTGAAAAATCTCTAAAGTAGTCTAATGGCCCACGTGTCTGTAGTTTGAGACCCCAGGTCTAAAAAAATTCCAAAGGCACTTGGAGACCCGAGAACATTTGCATTTTTCTTCATGAAATGAAACATGCTCCCCATTAGGAAAATCAAAACTGACAGTTCACTTTATGCCCAGGTTAGAGTGCAAGTGATCATGCCACTTGTGTTTGGCCCTCCTGTCAGCATTTAGAGTAACTGCTTAAAGTAACACCTATACGTTGATTTACTGAACTTCAAATAAGGCTACATATCTATCAAAAAAAATTCTATGTTCTGCTGAACCCTGTCATCTGTAAGCAAACAGAAATCAACTAACAAAAAATTTTAACAATTAACTAAATAACAATATCCTATGCAAGCAGAGAATATATATTTACTAAAACTTTGTCATAAAACCAGAAAAGATGGAAAGCTGGGCAAGGGGAGATAATTTAATCTTTTTCAAAGATTTAATGCAAACCATTCTATGAATGTGCACAACCACCTGTAATACATTCACCGATACTTGACATTTTCAGAACCCTATACAGTTGGGTGCATTTTCAGAACCCCTTACCAGTAGTTACAGCTATCATCCTTTACAATTCTTTTTGAAGTACAGAGCTACTAAAAGCCCAGAAACTATTCCAGGAAGCACAAAGCATGAGGCGCAGGGCATACCCTGAGAAGATCCAGGCCACTGTACATGCGCCCACGAGCGTGCACACACACACACACCCACACACACATCCACACACACAATCCACTCAGAAGAAAGTGAATGATTCATAATTAACCTTCATATACAAGCTTCTGTTGTTACTTACGATCTAATCTGGGACTCCCTCCATATCGTTTAAATAAGTGTTCTGCAGCCTTTGCAGATATTCTCTTTATGTCTCCAATTTTGTCTAGGTGTAATTTCCCATGGGAACAAAGGAATTTGGAGTTGTCAATAGATTTTGTAAGACTTGAGTCATCCAGCCACTTTTTAAGCCATTCCAAGGGGACAAACTCAAATGGCTGACCTATATTGAAAGACAGTAAACCTAATTAATATTCAATATATAAAACTACATGTTATATAAAGACATAACAGTAGTAAAAAAACACTCAACCTTCTGTATGGCATATTTGATTACATTAAAACAAAATGAAAAATCTTCTATAGAATCTGGGTAAATACTTTCAAACATGCATCTCTTTGTTCTTTTAATGAAGTTTAATTGTCCAAAAGTAATAAACATATAAAATTAGTTTTGTAAGTCAATTAAGTTTTTTAACAATGTTTATAAAGAGCAAATCAAGTTAAATTAATTTTAACATAATAGTCAAAAGCAAGGAAGCTGATGGGTTCCAGTAATAATTGCAATACTGTATTATAATGTTTTACAGACCGTCTTCCGCAGGTAACAATTTGTAGAGTTCCTTCACCTCTTCATGCTTGGCTTTGCCTTTGTCAACACTTTGTTTCCGCATGTCTGCCATTTCTATGCACCACTCTTCAAACTTTCTGTTGTCCCTGTCCACTAGTTTCTGAAGGAAGGCTAGAAAAAACGGTCAGTAGAGGTATCAAACGGCCCGAACATGTCTCATATCAGAATACATCCTTAATATAGTGGGCATTACAGACAAATTATGCAGAGAATGACAGTATTCTTCATTAATTTTCATAATTTGTGTCCCCGATTACAGAATGTTCTGTGCATCACTTATTACAAGCATAAAAAGAAGGAAAAATGAGCTCTCACCTGGTACCTCCTCTGTAATCTTTTCATTACTATCACCTTCTGTCTGCTGCTTGTACACCAGCATATAAGCGTTGCGAGAGCAGTGGTACCCTTTACTGCACTTGGGTTTACGTGTCTGAGACTTTGCTTCAGCTGAAAACAAATATTTAAATTTTAAACGGGTAAGAAGAAAACATTTTGTAAAATACATAGGCTAAAGCTTAAAAAGCATTTCTTAGCATTCCATAGTTTCATGACCATGTAGACTAGTGATGCGCGGGTCGGGTATTTTTCCAACCCGCGGGTCCCGCTTTTATTAAATTATTTGGCCCGCCCCAGCCCGCCCCGCAAATAAAGTGACAATTTCTTTACCCGCCCCAACCCGACCCGCGGGGTCCGTGGGTTACGAGACGACCCGCGCATCACTAATGTAGACAAATAAATGTTATTGAACCCAGTAGATAAAACATTAAAATACAGATTATGCCCAGCAATGTATTGTATTTGGAAGATGAGGTTATATAACCCATCACTATAAACAAGTGCAAAGATTCTCTTTTAACTAACATTCACTACTAGTCTTTCAAATCCTGTTATACATTTTCACATGGTGCAACGTATTATCATTGAGACATTACAATAAAGGTTTAAAAAAAAAAGGTTCCTAAAATTTCTTGTCTTGAAATATAAATTGCCATTATGAAATTTAATAAATTACAAATTAATTGTACTGCCTTTTTTTTTTACTTAACTATATTTTCTTATGTCTGCAAAACTAGAACAACAGTTGGGGGGGGGGGAGTCAATTCACTATATTTTAGATAGCTGAAGAGCATTAAACATTCTGCAAATGACCAAATCTGTAAAATACATCTAACAAATGCAGCAGCACTTAAGTTTGTGAACCCTACAGGGTGTGTTCAGTATTTTCAACCAGCCATCTTCCATAGCGGCTTATCCAGTACAGGGTCACAGTGAGCCTGAAGTCCATCACAGGAAATGGAATGATCAAGACAGATGAAACCCTAAGTGGGAGGGCAGTCCATCACAGGGCAGAAGCATGCATACCCACACACAACGTGATATTTTGACACCAAACTGACGTAACTGCATATTTGTGGACTGCACAAGAAACCTGGAGTAAACCTGAACAACACAAGGAGAATATGCATACTCCAGACATGAGGAGAGGGATCCAACCTCTGGTGGCTTAACCCTACAGTACAAACCACTAAACTACAGCAGGAAATTCAGTAATGTGCAAGAGGCTGTGATGATAAGCTGCACTTTAATGGCATTCAAACTATATGCAGTTTATTCCTGGGCTTGGGCAAGATTGTGGTTTTCAGCAGGATACTACAAGGTAGTGTCAGCTTTATATGATGAATTCAGCAGAAACAAAAGTTCCATCTTTCTCTCATTTGCAATCATTATTTGAATGCAAACAAATGCAAATTGAAAGTGCTCTCTTGAAACTGTTGAATTGAAAGGCAACACTTGAAAAAGTTTATCTACAAGGAAAATTGAACAAAGTGTACATTATATTGGGACATCAACAACATTTACCAATATCATCATCTATTCCAAGCTGCAGTTTCTTTCCCTCCATTTTTTCAATCTCCTCGTCGTTAAACTTGTACCATTCTTTGGTGCGGCCATCCCGCACATGAGCAATATAGTGCCCTGAGTAAGCACTGATGCCCCGATGAATGAGCACAGCATTTAGCTCATACACACATTTTTCATCTGGGAGGAGAGAAAAAAATAATCAGTTACACTGCTGGGAATATGCATATTTCAATATTCAATAGAATTCAATGGAAGACTAGATCTCGGGACTAATCCAAGGTGCTAGGGCTGAATGATTTGGGAAAAATATCTAATCGTGATTTTTCTGACAGATATTGCGATGATCTGTGATATTTTTCAAAAGTCAAGCTTCAGTTTAATATTCAGTGTGTAATAGATTTAAAACATATGATGCAGCATTACCACATAAGCTACCATGAAAATATTTAGGGCTGCAACTAATGATTATTTTGATAATCAATCTGTTGATTTTCTTTTCAATTAATCGATTATTAATCAGGGGGGGATTTCGAGCATTTTTTAATAACTCAAACTGTCTTTGTACAAAGGTTGTTTCCAGCAACTCACATAAAGAAATAAATGTATGCTACATTAAGAGTATAAAAAAATAATTTTGTAGCAGCTGAATCAATGTAATGAAAATTATAAAGTGCAACCAGCATGGCGCTTTAGATAATGTATTCAGTACTCCAGTTTTTAATGTAAAAGCACAGACTACCACTACTGCTACTAACAATATTATCAAATAATTCTCTGTTATTTAATGTTGATACACATATGTGACGGGGGGAGGGAGCACGCAAGCGAGTGTGTCTGCACTTACTACGGACAAAGTAAACATTTATTGCGGAGAAAAAGCCTTTTCCGCATTTTACGCTAAAAATGCGCCACTTGTGCTCTCGTGTCTTTAGTGACTGATTGGCACAAATAAGACGATTGGTGAGGAAAAACCTGTGAAAGGCAGGTGGCAAATTTAGTTTTAAAATGTGTCCGGTTGTGTGCGCATACTACAGTGATGAAGAGTAAATAAGATAAATAACATAAGGCTATTTAGTTTGTTTAATAAAAGGACAAGATATAGACCTGTTCTATAGGAAAGGTAGCCTTAAATGACTTCTGTTGTGATCTGGCGCTACATGTATATAGAAAATAAAATAAAAATAAAATTAACTTGGTGTACTCCCCTAATGGAATGGTAGGGTAAACACTTTGTGGTATATGTAACCACATTTGATAATAGCCAATTGTGTTGGCATCTTTCCCAGACAACCACGACTTCACCCGTGTTCATGTGCACACATGTGCGTGTGTGAAGGGGTGGGGTGGGTAACGCAGTCGACAGTAACGTCATTGGTTGCACTTGAAGTGAGAAGTTATCCAAATACTACCGTTTCTGGCAGAATTAAAACAAGACTCTGCTGTGTCCGCCTCCGCCATTTTTCAAACGTTTTTTTTTCTCAATTCTTCCAGAATTCATCACGTAAGCTACTCTAGGCATGGCATTGGTTCTCGTTTCCTTTTTCTTTTATGGTGGTCGGCTTTGGTTAGCTTACTGCTCCCAAATTAGGGGGTAGTAGCCACGGTACTTATGTGTATAATAACGTTGACCCAACTAATCGATTATTAAATTAGTTGCCAACTATTTTAATAGTCGATTTTAATCGATTTAATCAATTAGTAGTTGCATCCCTAAAAATATTAACTGGTCTTAGGGCTGGGCGATATTATATGGCGCATGCGCAATAATCACCAGAGCTTCAGATCAAAGGGCGAAGCATTTGGCCAGTCATCAGCTTTTTGATACTATACAGACATTTAATTTACACCCAATATTTGGTAAGCAGATTAGTAGTACAGCTAAAATATTAATGAAATGCATTTGTGACTCCCAAAACTTAGTAATCTATATTAAACTTGGGTAGCAGAGCACACCACATCATGCTGTTTTGGTATACTATGTTTGATATACTTTAGTGCAATTTGCACTGAAGTGTCAGTGAAGAAAGTCATGATATCTTTTAACTCTTGTGTACACACCTTGAGTCTTTAGTGACCAGGCATATACATATTTTAATATCAAGCCATAAGTAGCCGTAACTGTGCAAACTTTTATTGAATACCTCATACCAGAACACTAAGAACAGTCTCCAAACTGACAGAATGACTGTCACACAAGGAGGACGGCATTAATTTGTAAAACTATTCTCACAACAGTTTGAAACCCTTGGTCAGACATGCTGTACATGGCATATCCTTAATCGCAGCCTTTGCGATTTGCTACTTGCATTGTTTCAAACTACAATTTCAATTTGAAATCAATAAATCATTCAGCCGTACAAGGTGCATTGATTATTGCAAGCTGTTCAGCATCACGAGATTTCAAAATAGCATACTTTACAATCAGCATTTGTACAATAAAGGATAGCAGCTAGACCTAGCAAGGAACATATAACTATGGAGCAAGCTAGTCTAAATCAAGGACCTATTAGCAGCAATTCAGAACACCTCCAGCTGAGAGGTAATGTTTTTAGAAAGGAATATAAAATTAATTTAATCAGATACAGTTTGCTTGAAAGGAATACTCAGGGAGTGACATGACTTATAAACAAGTACGCATTCGCTGTACAAAGCGTTACATATCTTTCAGTGAATGTCATGACAAAGCAAATGCGCTTGCACTGTTATGACAAAGAATTACATCATTTTAACCTTTATATAACAAAAGCATACTTCATTCAAGTCAGAATAATTTACAATTTAAATGTACTACTATGAAAATAACAACAATAATTATAAATACCTTTTTCCTCCAGAAAGGGTCCCATATCCAACACTTCAGGGAAACTAATGAAGGAGTTTAGTTTCTTCTTGTGACCAGTTTGCCTGTAAAAGACAAGCAAACAAATAAAAACAAAAAACAAACAAACTAGTAATTTTCATAGTCTCAGAGTGTAGGAGCTACATGGGGTTACCTGTCAAAAACAAAGCGCATCAGCTGCAGATTAAGGGTGCGTGGGAGGGTCTGCAACTTGATGTGGCGGGTTGCATTTTGCTTACTGTGACAATTCTCACAGAAGTATCGGTTGTCACCTTCCAACTTCTCTTCCTATAGAAACACCATTAAAATGGAATAGACCAGGAGCAAATCTGCATATATTTTCAGCATCATATATGTAAATAAATCTTAAAACGAATATTACTGTCGCTACGATTTAAATAATTGGTTCAATGGTTCATTTGGTTAAAAATTGCTATAAGAGATCTAGATCATTTTTGTGAAAATTAGTTTATTAAAAAGCCGAAAAACCCATGAACAAGATTTTAACTACTGGAAAAAAAATCCCATTGTTACTGAGGACAGTATCAACAGAATTGTCATACTTTATATTACCTTAAGAAACTCTGTAATACATTCTGTCAGCTGCTTATGGCCCTGGATGCTGAGCTCCAACTCATAGAAGCGTGAAGGAAGTAGAGACGAACGACCACATTGATTGCATCTGTAATGCAGAAGAACACAAATTACTAGATCCATACCATGGATGCCAACAATTTTAAAGAGAGAAAACGGATAGCACTAAAGTTAACAATTCTGGGGAATAAATAACTTGAGAGAAATAAGCAATAGAAAATTTTAGTCCTAATTTGCAATATGACCAGAATTTTAAGTAAATGCAGTTATAAAATAAAGCTAGCAACAAAGTAAGCAATAGCTGCATGCTGCAGTTTCAGAATATAATTTTTTTTGGCTTAACCATGCACAATGGGGGTTAAGACTCCTATGATTGCTAGTTTGATTCCCACTCTTGGCAGATCAATCAAATTTCCACTAGGCTCTTGAATAAGAAGACCAATAAACATAACTACTCCAGTGGTGCTGGACACTGACTGACACTGTGATCTGATCCCAAAATTCACTCTCACCCGTGTTTCTTGAGATACCAAGGAGGGTAATATGAAAAAGACAATTTCCAATATGGGAATGAATAGAGTACAACAATAATTATTATAAGATGATGGCTAGCTAAGTTAATAGCTAGATTACTAGGCAAAACGATTTTGGTTGGACACTTAGCCAATTATTGACTCTTGACAAACAGTAAGCTGTTTGTCTTTGTTTCCTTCCCAGATGTTTGTAGAAATTGGTTGTGCCGACCACCTCAGTAATCGATGATTTGCAGTATTTGCTTCTTTCTACAGAATGAATCTCCTTATGATTTATGCATGCAAAATGGAGAGTTGCAGACTTGGTAGACATTATAAGGATGCGAGTTAACTGCATAGGTGCTAGTGCTGTAGTACTTGAGATCAATTTTGGCCATTATCTAAAGTCCTACAATGACATAGTTTGGGGTTCTCAAAATAAAATTAACTTAAATGGCCAATGTGATATTCTGGAGGAAAATGAATCATTTAGATCAGTGGTTCTCAACCTTTTGCAAGCTGGTCCCCCCCAAAGCTGGCTCATTGCAGTTGGGGCCCCAGTGCCCCTCCCCCCCACATCCCAAACACCACCTTGGATGGATGGATGGATGGATGGATAGATGGATAGATAGATAGCCCTAGGCTATTATTTTTAGGCCCACATTATTATTATTATTATTTATTATTATCATCATCAGTAGCGGTAGGTAGGCCT